GGGGTGGGTCGGGAGGCAAGGGAGGTGAAGGAAACAATGGTGTTTATCGGTTGAGAATTGGGTCGTGGAACGTATGTACATTGATGGTTAAGTCTATAGAGTTGGCAAAGATCCTCCAGAAGAGGAGTGTCAATATAGCATATGTCCAGGAGACAGGGCGGGTGCGGTCGAGGGCGAGGGACGTAGACGGGTATAAACTTTGGTACTCAGGAGTCCATAAGGGTAAGAATGGAGTGGGTATCTTGGTGGATAAGGAACTTATAGAGTCTGTAATTAAAGTTAGACGGATGAATGATAGATTAATGATTATTAAGTTGGTGGTTGGACAGTGCACCCTAAATGTCATTAGCGCCTACGTGTCATATGCGAGCCTAGATGAGGAGGTCAAACGACACTTCTAGGAGGGGATAGATGAGATTATGTGCCAGGTACAACCTGCTGAGAAGCTATTCATAGAAGGGGATTTCAATGGTCATATTGGGTCGATCGCATATGGGTGTGGCGAGGTGCATGGAGGCTTCAATTTTAGGAAGAGGAACGGAGGAGGCACCTCGTTATTTGACTCTGCTAAAGCTTTTGGGTTGGTGATTGCGAACTCTAGCTTTCCGAAGAGGGAGAAGCATTTGGTTACTTTTCAAAATGCGGTGGCAAAGACTCAGATTGACTATCTCCTCCTTAGGAGGTGTGACAGAGGGTTGTGCAAGGATTGCAAGGTGATTCCAGGTGAGATACTCGTGACGCAGCATAGGCTCTTCGTGATGGACGTTGGTATTATAGTGAAGAGAAGGAAAATGACTGCTCGAGGAAGATCGAGAATTAGGTGGGGAGCCTTAACTAAGGATAAAGCCCAACAGTTGGAGGGGCGGTTGTTGGCTATGGGAGCTTGTAGGAGCAGTGGTGACACGAGCACTATGTGGTCAACGACAACAGACTGTATAAGGGAGGCTGCGAGAGAAGTGTTAGGAGTCTCGGCGGGCATCTCTGGCAGGCACAAAGGAGACTGGTGGTGGAATGAAGTGGTACAAGGTAAAATGGAAGCGAAAAAGGCGACATACCTGAATTTAGTGGGGAGCATAGGTGAGGAGGAGAGGCGAGCATGCATGGAGAGGTATAAGGTAGCTAGGAAGGAAGCTAAGCTGACGGTCACAGAGGCTAAAACTGCGGCTTATGGTCATATGTACGAGGAACTGAGGGGAAAAGGCGGGAGAAGAAATTTCCGTCTGGCCAAGCTGAGAAAGAGGAAGGCTCGAGATTTAGACCAAGTGAGATACATCAAGGACGACAATGGTAGAGTATTGATGGAAGATTCCCATATTAAAAGGAGATGGCAGACTTACTTTCACAAACTTCTGAATGAAGTAGGGGATCAGGATATTGTGCTAGGTGAATTGGAGCATTCCAAAAGTCACGATGACTCTGGGTACTGCAGGCGCATCAATGTTAAGGAGATCCTGGGAGCTATGAGGAAGATGAGCAGGGGCAGAGCGAACGGGTGTGACGAGATTACGGTGGAATTTTAGAAGTGTATGGGGAGAACAAGTTTGTTTAATGTTATTTTTAAGGAGAAGAGGATACCGGATGAGTGGAGGTGGAGTAAAGTGGTCCCACGGTATAAGAACAAAGGTGATATCAAGAGTTGTAATAATTATAGGGCCGCCAAATTACTGAGTCATACTATAAAAGTGTGGGAGAGGGTGGTTGAAGCAAGGGTGAGGATGACAGTGTCCGTTTCCGACAACTAGTTTGGGTTCATACCGTGTCATTTTATTATAGAAGCTATACACTTTGTTAGGAGGTTAGTTGAACAGTATAGAGATAGGAAAAAAGACTTGCACATGGTATTTATTGACCTAGATAAAGCGTATGACAGGGTTCCTAGAGAAGTTCTCTGGAGAAGCTTGAAGGAAAAAGGTGTGTCGGTTCCCTACATTATGGCGGTTAAGGACATGTATGATGGGGCTAAGACTCGAGTTAGAATAGTAGGAGGCGACACTGAGGATTTTTTGATTTTTATGGAGTTACACCTTCCAACCAAAAGGTTATGAGTTCGAGTCACCCCAAGAGCAAGATGGGGAGTTCTTGGTGGGAAGGATGACATGGGTCTATTTGGAAACAACCTCTCTACCTCAGGGTAGGGGTAAGGTCTGTGTACACACTACCCTCCCTAGACCCTATTAGTGGGATTATACTGGGTTGTTGTTGTTGTTGTTGTTATGGGTTTATACTAAGGTTCTGCGCTCAGTCCGTTCTTATTCGCCCTGGTGATGGACGCGCTAACACACCACATTCAATGGGATGTGCCATGGTGCATGTTATTCACCGATGATATAGTTATGATTGATGAGTCGCGAGCCGATATTAACGAGAGGCTGGAGGTTTGAAGACAGGCTCTTGAATCTAAGGGTTTCAAGCTTAGCATGACGAAGACAAAATACCTGGAGTGTAAGTTTAGCGCTGAGCCGGGGGAAGTAGACGTGGATGTGAGGCTTGAATCATAGGTCATCCCGAGTAGAGGCGGCTTTAAGTACCTTGGGTCGGTTATCCGGGGGGGATTGACGAGGATGTCACACATCATATTGGGGTAGGATGGATGAAGTGAAGATTAGTATCTGCAGTATTGTGTGACAAGAGAGTACCACTGATACTCAAAGATAAGTTCTATAAAGCGTTGGTTAGACCGGTCATGATGTATGGGGTTGAGTGTTGGCCTGTTAAGAACTCATATATCCAAAAGATGAAGGTAGCAGAAATACGGATGTTGAGGTAGATGTGCGGGCATACTAGGATGGATAAGATTAGGAATGATGATATTCGGGAGAAGGTGCACGTGGCTCTCATTGATGACAAGATGCGGGAAACAAGGCTCAGATGGTTCGAGCATGTACAGAGGAGAAGTCTAGATGCTCCGGTAAGGAGGTGTGAGCGGCTGGTTGTGAAGGGCATGAGAAGAGGTAAAGGGCGGCCTAAGAAGTATTGGGGGGAGGTGATCATGCAGGATATGGCGAGGCTTCAGATTTCCGAGGATATGGCACTTGATAGGAAAATGTGGCGGCCGAGTATTAGGGTTGTAGGTTAGGAGGTAGTTGAGTCTTGCCCTACTTCATAACTTTGTGAGACTAGTTTGATAGGGTTACTATTTCGCTTTTGCTTTACATCTTTCTTCTGGATTTCATGTTGTTCCTATTTTTCTTATGATTTCTGAGGTGTTACTGATATTGTCTCCTTTTATCTTTTTGTTTTCTTGAGCCGAGGGTCTTTCAGAAACAACCTCTCTACTCCTTCGGGGTAGGGGTAAGGTCTGCGTACACACTATCCTCCCCAGACCCCACTAGTGAGATGTCACTGGGTCGTTGTTGTTGTTGTATACTTGTATGTGCATTTGGCCGCAATAGAAAGACATTGTCTACGACCCTTTAGATGCAGCTGGTTGAAGTAATGGACACATACGATATTTAAAATTACATGTGATAAAAGAGAAAACTTACAACATTTAATTTGAAATTATACACACACAAAAACAGATGAAGTATTCGAGATAATTAATTCATAGGAGTAATTAATATCTCAAAGGGCAGGTTTGATAATGGCATAGTTTGAGTTGACTAATGGAGCATCACCTTTCAACATACCATCAAGTTCTTTAATGAATGTTTCCATTGCAAAACCAGGCAAACAAATTGGAACCACAATTCCATTCTCACCTTTCTTGTTTTTAAATGGTATATAAAAACTAGCCACACCAGGAATTGCACCCACTCCTCCTTTAGCTGGTCCACCATATACTGCTTTTCCCCATCCAAAATCCACTTCTCTAAATCCAGCTCTAGTCACATCTGATACAAGATAAGTCCTCACCACTGTAAAATGAGGTCTACCTTTTAACACCATTAAATCTGCCACTGATTTCATATATTCTTCAGTCACATCCGTCTTTGTTTTCTTCACTAACTCGAGTGCATATGCTAGTGGATTTTTGCTCAGTTTAGCCGCAGTTGTCACTGCTACGGGGAATACAAAGGCGTTGCCGTAGTAGCCAGTAGGCAAGGGTGGATTGAACCTCGCGTTCGAACGTGCATTGACAATACAAAGAATGCGGACTTCCTCTTCTGGATCAGGTTTTAGGGACATTGTTCGACAACGCCAAAGGACTGCTGTGAGAAGTTCAAAAGTGGAACACTTACGCAAGTGATAAGGGACAAATCGACGAAGTGCTGAGACTTCAGAAGGGCCAAAAAAGAAAGATTTGTGAACCATGTCGTCTAAGGGGATAATGGTATCCTTTGTATCGGGTACTTCATCGTATTCGTGATGTGTACATGTCACTTGGGGCGGATTTCTTGCATTTAGCAATTCTCGACACCAGACTGGAAGTACAGATGGAGCAGATGCACCGCGTGCCATTTCACCCACTGCAGTCATGAATTGGACAAGACCGGGTGCATCACTCATTGTGTGGTTTAATCTCAGCGAGAAGATAAAACCACCACATATTAGACGAGTTACCTGCATATAATTGATATATCAGTATGCAGAACTAGATTTTTAGTTTATGCGTTCTGCACCAAAATTTCTTTACTTACTGGGTTTTGGATATATTACTTATACATATTTAATGATTTTTTCAACAAAAATAGTTTGGTCCAAAGATATTTGGTTCTACCGAATTCGTTGCTGGAAGGCTGGCTCCGCCCCTATCTACCAGCCCAAAACGATGCTCAACTTTTTTCTCGCTATCCATGAATGCTTGAATGGTATAAGAATGTACTGTATGCATTTGAAGGATTTAATTCTAATATACTGACGTTGTAAATGATTTTTGCAGCAATATTAGTTTAATTAACAGGATATATAACATACTATTTCTCTATTTTCCAGGTTGCCATATAGAGTTTGCTATATACTTCCTCCGGTCCACAACAAGTGACCAATTTGTTTTGGGCACACTCATTAAGAAAATATTAAATTCTAGACAAAAATAATTAGTATGACTAAACTATCTTTAATTAAATGTTGCAGCATAGTTATAATAACACTTACTTCTCTTCTCACATGTGAGGAATAAATGACTTTTTAGGGATACGTACATAAGGGTAATATTAGAAAAACAAATTGAATTTTTTCTTGATTATATAAATGGAAACTTATTTTAGACCAAAATAAATAAGCAAATTGATCACTTATTGTGGACCAGAGGGAGTATAAAGGCTAACTTATTATTATAGGTCGACTCAATTTCATAGTGTAAAAAATAATACATTGAGGGGTCATTTGATTTGAAGACAAGTTATATTGGAATTAGTTATGCTGGAATGTAGATATCCAGGTATTATTTCTTATCGACTTTTATATGTTGTATTAATTTTGGGATTGTCAATTTTATTGTTTTATCTTGAAATTATTATTCCACCTCTAGTAGGTATAAGTTATCCTAATATTCTTTTTAATCCTAGGATAACTTATCCTAGAATAAGTAACCAAATATCTATATATCTATATTAAAGAAATAAAGTTACCATACATAATTGGCATTGTGGTTAAGCCAAGTGACATACTGAGAAAAAGCCACTTGGCATTTTAGGATAAAAATTTAGGAAAAAATTAATGAGAATCTATATAAAGATTTCGAATTGATAATCTAAATCTAATCAATGAAATTTTCAAATGGTAAGTTTGGATCATAAAAAGAAAGGAGCTTATATTGTGGAATCTGTTTGCATGTACATTTTTTAATTGGATTTTTATCCAATTAAAATTAAGTACTTATAAAATCATTTTAATAACATTGCGTTAGTATAATCAAATTAATTGAATTTTACATGCATACCCAAACCTCTTAGCATCGATTCATGTTTTTGAAGAAAAAACTAAAATATTTGAATAGTGTAAAGTTATCCCAAACTACGTTTTATATTTATACTGTTTTCAAATTACACAAAGATCAAAACTACACAAATGAATTTGAGCTAAATTATATAAATGGAGGTCACCATCTAATCTAAGATAGGTAATTTTATGGATAATTTCGAGTTGAGTTTTATTTTCTATATGTTTAGGAATTAGAAATCATGGAAGGACCTTTTCACTTAGTAGTACTAACTGAATAGAGGATATCAGTAGTTTTATAGTAAATTAACATATCTATTTATATTTTGAAAAAATTTAAATTATAATTTAGTTTTAAACGTGATAGCTAGTGATAATTTAAGGATAAAAATATTTGAATATAAATAAAGAAAAAAATTGCTTATGGCACATAATGCAAAAGTAATAATTATTAAGAAAATCAGTAGTCATGTGCAAGAATTACTTATGGGATGGAAAAGTGATTACTAACAAACCTCCTTTAGTAGCATGAGATACAATTTGCAGACCAAAAAAAGGGGGGATTAGGGGTACAAGAATGTGTGACATGGAATGAAGTAGCGGTAGCAAAGTATGTATAGAATATTAAACAAAAAAGCGACACTTTATGGGTCAGATGGGTGAATCGCATTTATATAAAGGGGAAAGACTGATAGCAATATGAACCACCACAGGATTGTGCATGGTACTGGAAGAAGATTTATGACATTAAAACTAGCTTTGAAACTGGTTTTGAGCAACAAGGATGGAAGAGAAAGAATAAACAATACATATATAGTTAAAAATGGATATAAATGGAGAAGAGGTGAAGCACCTAAATGGCCATATGCTAGATGGATCTGGAACAAACTAAATGTACCAAAACATTGCTTTTATAAGCTGGCTGATTATGAGACAAAGACTGCTTACAAGAGATCGACTGCACATGATAGGAGTAAGCTAGTAGAAGACATGTCCTCTATGTGGTATGCATGATGAAACAATTCAGCATTTATACTTTAAGTGCCAATTTTCAAGAAGAAGTATTGAGGAACTTGACAGCTGGCTGGGAATAAAGGTCAGCCAACCAGATCAGCAAAACATATGGAGAAGATAGGAAGATGTATAAAAGGAAGAATCTGTAGAGGATTTGTGACTTCAATCATTGCAGCAATCATGTATGGAATATGGAAAGCAAGAAATGAAGCTCTATGAAATCAAGCAGTGCCAATTCCAGCAAAGATATGGAAGAGTATTAAAGAGGATAGTAAACATAGAATGCAGTTGATAGTAGACAATAGGAAGAACAAGAAAGATAAAGAATGGATAAATCTTTTGTACAAATTGTATTCTATAGAGCAGACCTACCTTCTAGGGATGCATAGAAGGAAAATACAATTAGAGGTAAGCTAAAGTAGAATAGCTTATAGTTTATAGTGTAGTTATAAACTTGTAAATATCTTTGTCAGGTGGAGATCAATAAAACTTTTCTTTCACCCAAAAAAAGATAATCAGTAGTTTTATGATAAAATCATAAAATAAGAGGGGAGACAAGCTTAATATTAAGCTAAGTAGTGTACTGAGAAAAGTCATTTGGTACTTTAGGATAAAATTCAAAAATATTTAGAGACAAAATCTAATAAAAATTAAGACAAATAAGATTTGATCAAATGTAATTTAAAGGTATTACATGTTCAGTATTCTTTAATATTGACCGTAAAATAAAGGGAAATTTTACCTCCTATTGCAAAGGTATACATCCCATTTATTATAAACCAAAATTATTTTAAAATATTTTTCTATAGCTACCTTTTATATTTTATAGCAATATAAGTATTTATGGTATATCCTATCATTGATGCATGAAATAAGGTATGAAATATGCTATTTATATTTTTCTTTTATCTTAGACAGCTGGACATACCTATTTTTAAGGTGATTGTCGTTACTTTATTCATGAATACATGGCACGAATACATGTGAATACATGCGCATACAACTGGACTGCCATGATTTTAGGCGCTTTTTACAGCTGTATTCATGAATACAGCCGCGCGAATACCAGGGGCGAAGCTACATGGTAGCAAGGGTGGTCAACTGACTACCCTTCGTCGAAAAATAATACCGTGTATATAGGTAAAATATTAGGATTTATATATATGTAATACATATTGAACACCCTTGTAACAATGAAGAGTCATTGCCCAGTGGCAAAGGGTGGTCAAAATTGCTTCAAGGATGCAGGATTGAACCCGCATCTCCACATTTATTTTTTCGTGTTCAAGTTTGAACACCCTTGAATAATTTTCTGGCCTCGGCACTGGCGAATACAACGAATACACAACTCAATAGTAACTATAAGAAATAATTGTATTTTATAAGAAGTAATTATGTATATTTTATTTTCTCTAAAATAAAATACAAGTGCCACAGTCAAGGGGTTAGGTTATTGCATATGTAGAAAAAGAAAACAGTTTATCCATTAGGAGATTTGAAAAATATAGTTTCATGTCCTTTTTTTTTAGTTAATATCTAATAATTTTTTATAATTTTATATAAAAGATTTAATTTTTAAAGTTATTTGCACATAATTCAAATAATCTAAATCATTATTTGATATAGTTTACATCCGCGCATTGCATGGGTACTAATACTAATAAGTTAGAAAAGAGAGATAATCAACCTGAATAAGAAGCAAAGGGCAATTAAGAACTCCAGCAGAGTGAGGAACATCAAAAAGAAGCTCGTCTAAGCATGGAAATGGAGGCTGAAGTTCATCTCCAAATTCTTCAAGTGTAACATCAGCGTCCGCTTCGACAAACATAATCCCTTCGCCGGTACAATCCACCATAAGTTTCCGGCCAGTTCCTTCCCGGAGCCGGCCAGCAAATGGATAGTAAAACACAAGTGTTTCAGCGATAGCCTTTTTAATAACATTAACAGGATCTTTCCCTTCCATAGAAGAATTCTTACTGTAAAATTGAATAACGGGAATTTGGAATCGCATACCTTCTTGATCATCAATATCCGAAAGAAACTTAGTTTCACGTGGAGTTGGTTTTTCTGGAGCTATTAGCTCTGGCTTTTGTCTCCTTACTGTGAACACTAATTCTGATGATTGCTTTGAATCCATTGAAGATGATATATAATCAAGAATATGAGTTTAATATTAGTGATTAATTGGGATATGAAGAAGAAATATTTGTTTGTAGATGAATTCCAACTATGAAACATAAAAGCTATATATATAGAGGTGGTAACAGTGGTATGTACCTGTAATGATGAAAATAGTAAGTGGGGGAGAAGAAGCGACGTTAGAGCTTAGAAACTCTATTTTTATGTTTTATTTTTTGTAAATTTTAATTAAGTACTACCAACTAACCAGGGTGTATTGTTGTTGCTGGCTAACCAGAGATGGATCTAAGAAGCTACCATTTTTATTAAGGGTTGTCAAAATATATAAAAAGTAAATATTACCAAAAAAGCAATGAAATTCAACATATAACATATATACATAAAAAATAAAAAAAAATTACCTACCTATATAGTTCCCGTGAAGGGGTGTCAATTCTTTGCTATAAGGTGGCTCCGTCGCTGGATCTAAAATTTATAACCCGTTTGGCCAAGCTGTAAAAATTAGTTTATTTTGAGAAGTGGTTTTTTTCAAAAGTGCTTTTCACAAAAGCACTTTTGGTGATAATCAGTTTGTGTTTGGCTAATTAGTTTGAAAACCACTTCTGAATAGCAATTAGTGTTTGACCAAACTTTAAAAAACTGCTTCTAAATGTATTTTTCTCAAAAGTGCTTCTCAAAAAAGTGCTTTTGGAGAGAAACTACTTTTTCCTGCTTCTCCAAAACTGTTTCTGCTTCTCCTCAAAAATAATTTTTTTTTCTTTTAAAAGCTTGACCAAACACCTTAATTTTTGGCCAAAAGTGCTTTTGGTAAAAAAAAAAAAAATACTTTTGGCAAAAAAAACTTGATCAAACGTGCCATTATTAATCTCTATGAGTTCCATCTTAATCCCCGTAGCTGACATGTGGTTGTTAGAATCTATGTTGTGAATTTCCAGCTGGCTGCTGAACGAGGAAGGTATTGACTTGAAATAGACTTGCTATTTTATGTGTACTATTGGCAGATGTCTGTTAGTGTTTTCAACTCAACAACCAATTTCGGCCTTTAAAAAATTTGTTTCTTTAAATGATTCAAGTTTTTGAAAGGTAAGTTACATGAAAATGTAGGAAGGTTTGGTTGTGTTTGGTAGGAAGATGTTTTCCATGGAAAATGTTTCTCTAGAAAATATTTTATGAAAAATGAGTACTTTTATCATTTATTTTCCTTTGTTTGATTGGTGAGTGAAAAATATTTTTTGTAAAATATTTTTTAATGTTTGATTAGAGAGTAGAAAATATTTTTCCTTCATACCAAACACCCTTTATCCGTAGTTTCAAGGAAAGTTTAGGCTTGTAATGACTTTAAATAGGTACTCCGTCTTTTCCAGTTTATGTGAACCTATTTCATTTTTGGTTCGTTCTAAAAAGAATTACCCCTTTCTAAATTTGGTAACAATTTAGCTTAAATTTATAATTCTACCCTCAATGAGAAGCTTTTATAACCACACAAATGCTTTGGGCCCCTTGTTGGCTTGTTTAGGACCACAAATTCCAGAAATCTTCATTTTTTTTAAAATTCGTGCCCAGTCAAACAGGTTCACATAAATTAGAACGGAGGGAGTAATATTTTAACTTAAAGGACTCGTCAGTTTATTTAATCCTTGAGCCAATTAAACTACACCAATCGAGATATGAATTTTTGTTGAAAATTGAAAGTATAAAGTTTAATAATTTTAAGAATTAACTGATGTTTGGCCTTGTTGATACCGTATTTTAGTTTCGGAGTCCGGTACAGTTTCATTATAATATTTATGACTTATTTGTGAAATTTGGTGAGAAACAAAATTAGTTTGACGTGATTCGGCAATCCATTTGTGAAAATAGAAGTTTTAAAGCTTTTTTGAAAATTTTATTGGATTTGAGGTTCAATTCGTAGTTTTAGGTGTTATTTTGGCGATTTGATCGCGCGAGCAAGTTCGTATGATTTTTTAGGACTTGTGTGCATGTTTGATTTGGATCCCCGAAGGCTCGGGTGAGTTTCAGATAGGCTACAAGCTGATTTGAACTTAGAAAATCTGGTATTTTGCTTCAGTTGGTGTTTGGTATAGACTTCTATGCGATCACATATGTCCAACCGCGATCAAGAAAGGGAATTGGGACTGGGGAAAAACTACCCTACGCGAACACGAGGTAAAGGACTCGAACGCGGAGCGATGGGGTACTACCCTTCTTGAACGCGTCGAACCTACGCGAACGAGTAGCAGTAGATTGGTTGGGCCGGGAAACTTGAGGTTACACTATGTGAACGCGGGTCTTGTCCCGTGAACGCGAAGGTCAGGGGGGGCTAAACCTTCACGAACGCGTGTAGCCTCTCGCGGTCGCGTAAGCCCTTAAGGCACAGCTCTTCGCGAACGCGTCAGTGTTCACGCGAACGCGATGAACACTGACGCCCAGTGATAAAAAGTACCAGTACAGGATTTTTGTCGTTCTTTCAAATTTTCAAAAGCTAAAAAGCCTAAAGAGACGATTTTTTCAAGTTATTTTCTTTCCCAATTTGTTGGTAATTTATTCTAACCTACTTTCTTTCAATTATCCATTACATTTTATTAGATTTAAACCTCATGGTGGAAATTGGGGGTTTGGGTAGAATTAGCGATTTTTGTATAATTGGAATTTAGACCTCGAATTGAGATCGGATTTCGAAATAAATTATATAATTGGGCTCGGGGTGAATGGGTAAATGGATTTTGGTCCGAACATCGGGTTTTGACCAAGTGGGCCCGGGGTCGATTTTTGACTTTTGGGGAAAGTTTGGGAAATCTAAATCTATGCATTGTAGTTGATTCCTTTAGCAATATTTGATGTTATTGAGTTAATTGTAGCTAGATACGAGTGGTTTGGAGGCGAATTCACGGGGAAAGGCCCCGGTAGAGCTTAGAATTGACTGCAGAGTGAGGTAAGTATTGTGTCTAACCTTGACTTGAGCAATTAGGAACCCTCGGACTATGTGCTATGTGATTCTCATGTGAGCGGCATATATGCGAGGTGACAAGTGCTTATACGCCGCCAAATTATTTTTTTCCCTGATTTACCGCTTTTCATTAATTATTTCCTTTCATGTCTTAACTGTTATATGATCTATATGCTTTCCATGCTTAATTTCTACTTGTTATTCAATATCTTCTCCTGTTCATGATGTTAGTTATTCCATAGTTTCATGACTCCCTACTATTTGTTTAAATTGACTTACTTGCACCTTCTAATTGTCAATTGCTGGACCGGTCTCGTTGTTTAGTATTACTCATGTAGATTCCTTTATTGTGCAAGTTCCCTTTTGGTTCAGTTTGGTATTTATTGATCGTAAAGGCTTTGTAGTTGAACTATTGATTTGGTTGTGTTCTGAGTATTTGGTACTAATATGGTAGGATCGGGCTGCACGCCGCAACAGGTGTAATAAGGGTAGATTGATATGGTTGAATAAGGGTGAATATGCTTTATGAGGTGGGATCGGGTTGCACGCCGCAACAGATGGATGAAGGGTGGATTGATATGGTGAAATAAGGGTGAACTGTGATACTAATATTGATATATAGTGGGATCGGGTTGCGCGCTGTGACATATTTATATACATTATCTCTGTGGTTGGTGCTATTACGGTGGAATAACGGAGGATTATGTATTGTCTGGAGGGATCGGGTTGCGTGCCGCAACAACCTATATGTTTCTATTTCTTGAGCTATGTTGGTTTTTACGGTATTTGTAATTGAACTGTTAAATATTGAAAAATTCTGGACGATGCTGGTTTATTCTTGAGGCTGTGGGTTCAATTGACTGTTTAATTATGTTCAGTATTTCTATTATTCTGTCATTATTATATATACTGCGTACAGGTTGTAGTGTAGGTGACCCGTCTTAGCCTTGTCACTACTTCGTCGAGGTTAGGCTCGGCACGTACAATACATGGGGCCGGTTGTACTGATACTACTCTCTGCAGATTTTGGAGTCGGTCCCAGCGGTGGCTACTAGAGAGCTTGGATTGGATGGCCTGCAGAGACTTGAGGTACAGCTGCTCAGCGCCCGCAGCTCTTGAAGTCCCCTTCCGGTTTTTATTTAGCTATTTATCTTCTTTTCAGACAACTTTACGTTATTTTAGACCTTTGTATGTATTATTCTAGTAGCTCGTGCACATGTGACACCAGGTTCAGAGATTTGTAATAGATGTTTGGCTGGTTTAGCTTCCGCATTTATGTTTTAGATTATTTAAGTTATTTTAGCTCTTTCTTAATATTATCATTTAAACCGTTAAAGAAAATAAATTGTTCTAACGTTAGTTTACCTGACAAGTGAAATGTTAGGCGTCATTACGATTCTAACGGTGAGAATTCCAGATCGTGACATTATCCCAGAATAAATAACCAAACATTAGGTAGAAAAGAGAAATAATTAACCTGAATAAGAAGCAAAGTGCAATTAAGAACTCCAGCAGAGTGAGGAACATAAAAAAGAAGCTCGTCTAAGCATGGAAATGGAGGGTGAAGTTCATCTCCAAATTCTTCAAGTGTAACATCAGCGTCCGCGTCGACAAACATATTCCCTTCGCCGGTACAATCCACCATAAGTTTCCGGCCAGTTCCTTCCCGGAGCCGGCCAGCAAATGGATAGTAAAACACAAGTGTTTCAGCTATAGCCTTTTTAATAACATTAACAGGATCTTTCCCTCCCATAGGAGAATTCTTACTGTAAAATTGAATAACGGGAATTTGGAATCGCATACCTTCTTGATCATCAATATCCGAAAGAAACTTAGTTTCACGTGGAGTTGGTTTTTCTGGAGCTATTAGCTCTGGCTTTTGTCTCCATACTGTGAACACTAATTCTGATGATTGCTTTGAATCCATTGAAGATGATACATAATCAGGAATGTGAGTTTAATATTAGTGATTAATTGGGATATGAAGAAGAAACATTTGTTTGTGGATGAATTCCAACTACTGAAACATAAAAGCTACATATAGAGGTGGTAACAGTGGTTGTACCTGTAATGATGACAAAATAGTATTTTTATCAAGGGTTGTCAAAAATATGTAAAAAGTAAACATTATAAAAAAGTAATGAAATTCAACATATAATATATATACATAAAAAAAATTTTAAAAAATTACCTGCCTATATAGTTCCTGTGAAGGGGTGCCAATTCTTTGCTATAAGGTGGCTCCACACTGAAGCTAGGATTTAAACTCTATGAGTTTATTCCTTAAAGTTCTTTGCATTGAATCTGTTGTATTCTAAATTTATGGGTTAATAACTACCATTTATGGCAATTTTAATAAATTCTTATACATAAATTTAAGTTTCGCATCAAAATATCGGATTCAAATTAATCAGACGCTGCTACTCTAGATCCGCCCCGTAGAAGACATGTTAATGGTTGTTAGAATCTATGTTGTGAATTTCCTGGCTGCTGAATGAGGACTGCATTGACTTGAAATAGACTTGCTATTTTATGTGTACTATTGGAAGATATCTGTTAGTGTTTTCATACTCAACAACCAAGTTCGGCCTTTAAAAATTTGTTTCTTTAAATGATTCAAGTCGTTTCAAGTTTTTGAAAAGTAAGTTACACGAAAATGTATGGAAATTTGGTTGTCTTTGGTACGAAGGAAAATTTCCATGAAAAATATTTTTCTAGAAAATATTTTTATGGAAATGAGTGCTTTTATCACTTATTTTCCTTTGTTTGATTGATGAGTGGAAAATATTTTTTTAGGAAAATATTTTTTATGAAACTCTCCTCACCCTCCCCCTCCCTTCTCCCTTCTCCCAAGTCTCTAAAAATTCACACAAACCCAAAGGAACTAATGTGCTGCTTTAACTTTTTTACGCAAAAATAATGTTGAAATTTGTGCTTCATAACTAAAAAGAAATACTCTTTTTTTGGTTGAAAAGAAAGTATTCTTTCTAAAACATGAAAATAAAGTACCAATTTTATTGAAATAAAAGAAAATACTTTTTCTACATCATGAAAAGAAAATATTCATTTTGTTGAAAAGAAGAAAAAAAATACTTTTTTATATCATGAAAAGAAAATAATTTTTTTGTTGACATGAAAAAAATATTTTTCTACATGAGAAGAAAGTAATTTTTTTGTTAAAATGAAAAAAATACTTTTCTATATCATGAAAAAAATATTCATTTGTTGAAATATAAAAAAACTATCTATATTATGGAAAGAAAATACTATTTATAATACTTT